TAAATTTATTTTTTGTTTATATTATTAAATAGTTTACTATATGTATTAAATAATGATGTAGGACTCGATCCCAGGACCTTGGGATCATGACCTGAGCCAAAGGCAGAGGCATAACAACTGAGCTACCCAGATGCCCCTATTTTGTATTATTTTAAGAAGAGCACGAGCTGGGAGGGGCAGAGGGAGAAGGAGAGAGAGAGAGAGAGTCCCAAGCAGGCTTCACGCTCAGCACAGAGCCCGAAGAGAAAGAGTGGCTGGATTTCCTGACCCTGAGATCATGACCTGAGCTGAAATTAGGAGTCAGACGCTTATCCAACTCAGCCACCCCCAGGCACCCCCTACAAAGCTCTTTCTCACCCAGAGTCCCATTTGACCCCCAAAGGGAGTTTGGGCGGTAGCATGGATTCCAGAAACTGCCAGGGTAATTGGAACATGGGGAGGAGGTTGGGCTGGGAGAGAACTTCAGCCAGAGGCTGGGCTGCTTGAAGGCCTGGAGTGAGGGGATGTGAACTCCTCCAGGACTTGACTTCCTTCTGTAAAATGGCAATAATGTTACCACAGCAGGCACTTGATGTTCATGTGCTCAATTTGAAAATCACAAGTGGGGGAAGAGGGTATAAGACTGCCGCTGAATACACATGGCACATACATCTTCCTGGAATTTTACTTGAGGATTTGGAGGTGGGAGAGTTTTATAATAAAACTTGGATTTATTATGCAGCAGAATGAAACCTTGTATGTATTTAAAGAGGAAAAGGAGTTTGAAAGAGATGTCATGCTTCCAGTGGGCTGCTTCTGGCTACACCCCCAGATCCCTGGAGGTTGGACATGTGATCACACCCTAGTGTGCCATGAAGGAACTTGAGTAGGAAAACAGGAGCAATGCTTTCTGATAGAAGATGAGAAGCGCCTGGCAGGCAGTAGGCGGTCAGTAAATGGTGGCTCGTGTTATGGCAGCAGTTCTTATCCTCCCAGAGGAAACAGGCTCACACGGATGAATTTCTCACTTTGGTTCACTCAGCTAAAAAGTGATAGAGCCACCAGATTCCAGTGCTCTGTCACTAACCCCCACCGCCTCCCCACGGGAAGGGGCTTTCTGGTCAACAGCCTTCCCTTGCTTAGGCCAATGTACCTGTTCTCCCTCTCTCATTCAGCTTCCTCTGATCAGGGAGGCTGGATTTCTAAGTTGAGTTCCAGCCCTGTAACTCTTGCAATGCATACATAACTTCTCTTAAACAAGCACCCCTGGGAGGAGGCAGCAGACACAGCGAGGATGAGTGAACCTGTGTACTTCAGAGGTTGGGCACAGGACCGATGAGTCTTGGGTGAACAAAGGAAAAGTCCAGAGTCTGAGAGCCTCTTAGGATTGGGTGGAGGCCAGAAGCAATGTTTGTGAGGCAAGCGGTACACCAAACTCTCCATTTCCTCCACAGTTTCATGTGAGATGACAGGCTCTCAGGTTTCTGGGTCTGGATTAAGAAGACCAAGGGTAGCCTGGCCCTAGCCAACTGGTGAGGAGGGAGATGGTCTCCAGGAACAGCAAGAGGGTCTTGGGAAGTCCCCAGTCATTCTTTTCCCAGGCCCTGTCAGGCTAGCCTCTCTGCCCTGGGCCTTTGCAAAGATTTGTTTCCATGTTTATCTCTGTAAATGAGAGTAACCACTGGTCCAAAATGAATGAAACAATATCCAGATTTGTCCAGCTTCTGCTTCAAATGGGGTCCGTGAGGGAGGCACAGGGGTGGGAGCCTGTCACTCTAAAGCCTCATGTACTACTTGTAACAACCCAGTGAGAGTGACTATTTCCCCATTTTACAGATGAAGAAACCGACCCTCAGAGGCTTCTCAGGCCCCAGAATCTCCTGAGGCATTGTTAGAAATGCAATTTTTTTTTTAATTTCATCCAGACCTACTCAGAATTTCCCTGAGGCAGACCTGAGTGTCTGCATTTTTTTGAACATGGGTGACCATCAGGTGATTCTCATGCTCAGGAAAGTTCTAAATCCTTGACAGAACACTTTAGTAACTTACCCACACAGCTGGAGAGCAGACCTGGGGTGAAAACTTGAGCCTTCTGACATTAAGTCCAGGCTCTTTTCCGCAGGAAATGGAGAAGCTGGATGTCTGCCATCACCCTGTGCCCGTCTCAGTATCCTTTGCACAGGCTCACAATACACTTTCCTTGAATGAGCAAGTGATTGAATGAACGAATCATGGGGCCCTAGCTGCTTGCGGTGGGCTGGGGCAGGAGGAGACCCTACACCAAGGGAGGGAAAGCTTGTGCATTGCTGAGATGCCAACGTGCACGCCCGGACCCTGTCGCTTTCAGAAAAGCCACTGGCAGAAGATCCGGACCATGGTGAATCTGCCCGTCATGAGCCCTTTCAAGAGGCGCTACGCCTGGGTGCAGCTGGCTGGGCACACGGGTGAGCACAGGGCAGGCGCCGGCGGGGCGGGCGGGTGCCCGGGAAAGGAAGGGACCGGGCAGCGCTAACTGGTGCCAGTCCGCAGGGAGTTTCAAGGCGGCTGGCACCAGCGGGCTGATCCTGAAGCGCAGCTCGGAGCCGGAGCGCTACTGCCTGGCGCGGCTCATGGCGGACGCGCTGCGCGGCTGTGTGCCCGCCTTCCACGGCGTGGTGGAGCGCGATGGCGAGAGCTACTTGCAGTTGCAGGACCTGCTCGACGGCTTCGATGGACCCTGCGTCCTGGACTGCAAGATGGGCGTCAGGTACACGTGCCCTGCCTCTCCCGGGTGCCCGGAACCGCGCGGGACGGGGTCCAGGTCTGCGTTCCCTTACGCCTCCCCCCCCACACACACACACACTGCCTGCCCCTCCGCAGGACTTACCTGGAAGAGGAGCTGACCAAAGCCCGCGAGCGGCCCAAGCTGCGGAAAGACATGTACAAGAAGATGCTGGCGGTAGACCCCGCGGCTCCAACCGAGGAGGAGCACGCGCAGCGAGCGGTCACCAAGCCACGCTACATGCAGTGGCGAGAAGGCATCAGCTCCAGCACCACGCTTGGCTTCCGCATCGAAGGCATCAAGGTGGGCCAGGCCCGCTTTGCTCTGCAGCGCCCTGCCCCCCGCCCTGCCCTAACCCCACCGCGCGGTGTCTGTCCTCCCTGCGGACCCCCCACCCCTACCCCCCGCCACGAGGCCTCCTCTGGCGGCCTTCCCGCCTTCCCCGGCAGCCCACGTCCTGGGAGGTACAGCCACTCTAGCCAGATCCTCTCCCCTCCAGCAGAGGAGAGGCACGGGGACACTGACACTTCCTGTCCCACTTCCTTCAGAAAGCCGACGGCTCCTGCAGCACTGACTTTAAGACCACGCGAAGCCGGGAACAGGTGATTCGCGTCTTCGAGGAGTTTGTGCAAGGGGACGCGGAAGTGCTGGTGAGCGCCGGATTCTAGAACCCTGAGTTGTTGGGGAACCTGAAACCGAGGGGTGCCCCCTAGGTCATCCGGTCTGGTGCCCTCACCTGTCACCCCCATCGTAGCATTTATCGCACCCGGGGGCTTATGTCTTCCTCACCATGGTATCCTCCAAGCCAAGCATGCATCGTGGCCCCTGATGCTAGCGGAGGCTCGATTAGTTTTTGGTAAATCTGCCCTCCTACCCTATTCTGCCCTCTCCAGAGGAGGTATCTGAACCGCCTGCAGCAGATTCGCGACACCCTGGAGGTCTCTGAGTTCTTTAGGAGGCACGAGGTAAGAGGGGGTAGTCCAGGTACGGGGCCTGTGGTCTGTGAGGGCTACAGCGGGAATGGGATGGGGGTCTTCTCCAGGAAAGAGCTGCGGCGTGACCATGTGGGGCTCGGCAGGTGATCGGCAGCTCGCTACTCTTCGTGCACGATCACTGTCATCGAGCGGGTGTGTGGCTCATCGACTTCGGCAAGACCACGCCCCTCCCCGACGGCCAGACCCTGGACCACCGGCGGCCCTGGGAGGAGGGCAACCGCGAGGACGGCTATTTGCTGGGGCTGGACAATCTCATTAGCATCCTGGCCAGTCTGGCAGAGAGATGAGGCTGAGCCCCCGTTCTAACAGACCTTCGGCTGGGTCCCCGCCATGCATGCCAGCGAGAGACTGAAACCCCGCGGTGCGGGGCGGTTCACACTGTTCTGCAGGGCCAGGTGCCAACCACTATGGGACGCACTGCACGTGCTGGGGGCTGTCCCCCATACAAGATCCAGAGTTCCCGGAAACGATGGCACTAATTAACAGGGGGTGGGGGGGGGGGGGGGGGGGGGGTGGCCGGGACAATGGGCTCCTTCCTGGGCCCAGCTCTTCTGAGGGGGCTGTATATCTCTTTAGAGAGGCCAGATAACGAATTTTATTTCGCAGGCACTAGATCTATTGGTCTAACCTCCCACACTACAATGGACAGCCTTTCCCAATAAAACTAAAAAACACCAGCTTTGGTGACTCAGGCCTCCTCCCCTCCTTCCTCTGGTCTCTTTCTCACTTCTCTGGTATCCCTCATGTCCACTCAGATCACTGGAGGGTTTGAGAAGAGCTCTTTACTGGAGGCATCTGTAGGACTCGGGGCTGCCCAGATGAAGAATGCTCATGGGGGAAAGGTAATCCAGAGAAGGCTTCCCGCAGGAGGCAGTTTCAACCTCTGGTCCCAAAGATCAAAGGCTGGGAGGAGCCAAGCTCTTCTCCCGGAAGCCTGAGCTGGTTTCCAGGATGGAGGGTCTAGTGGTGCCAGGCTGGCCTGAGACAGGCCCAGACACATAGCACAGACTGCAGGGGACAGAGGCTACTGGAATAACAAGCTCCCTAGAAGCCTGAGGAGGAGTGCAGGGAGGAATCACTGTTACCGACAGCGCCTGAGTCCTCACCTTCAGGGCCCCCTGGGGCCCAAGAGCCATAGGGGGATTCCTCTGGATTCCTTTGGAATCCCCTCTGAGGTTGGAAGTCCTTGGATTTGGAGGTTTTGAGGCTAGAGGGCAGGCAGGGGTCAAGGAGCCTCCCTCCCTAGCATTTTAAGCTCTCCAGATTCAGTTTCTAGGCGTGTGGGGCTCCAAAGACCTGCTCTCCAGCCCAGAAGTCCCTTCCTGCTCCAGGATGGGCCCCAGCTCCATTGGCAGGGGTGAATTCGGCACATCAGGGTCCTGTAATGGCGGGGCAGGAGAGCAGGGGACCACAGCGTTGTTCCGTGACTGCCCTCCTGACCCTCAAGATCAACATGGTCAAGGTGGGTCAGGGGCCACACCTGAATACGGTATCTGAGATGCTTTGAGATGCCAGCAAAACTGGGGTGGAGTTCAGGCTGGTGCTGCCAACCCTGGGTCATGATATGGTACCTGGGGAGAGGCAGGAATTCGTCCCACCCATGGCTGCGAAGGAACTTCCTCCCTGGACAACACTCCACATCCACACAGGCCCTGGAGAGCCCCGGGGAGGGCCCATCCGTCCATCTCCAGCAACGAAGTACAGCACGTCCGGGTTGGTGCACCCAGGCTAGGGCATGTAGCCTAATGAGACTTTCCAGAGCAGCACCCCCAAAAGATCTGCATCATGAGTGGGGGAAACTGAATGAAGCCCATCAGGCACAGCCCCCCCCCTTTCCCTCACATGAGGTGGCCCAAGGGTAGAGAGGGGGTTGGGTGGGTTATCACCAGGAGTTTGTTTTGGATGTGAAGATGCCCTCCAAGAAGGCCTCTAGGGCATCCACCTGCCTGGCAGCCCTCTCTGTAATAAGCAGCTCTTTGGGAAGGGAGAAGGAGCACCATGAGCTGCTCAAGTGCCACAGGAGGGCCCGTAAACTCCCTTGGAGCAGCAGCCTTCCCCACCTCCCTAGACCCCACACCTGTAGATATCTCTTTCCAACCCTAAGTCTCCAATCTTGGCCACTCAGCTGGGCCCAGTACAGTTCAGCAGGCAGCTCCTGGTGGCAACATCCTTGCAGGCAAAACATCACCACCAGAACTCAGAAGCTCTTGCCCTGATCTGTTTCCATTAAAGTTATATGGAAGAGCAGTTCCTTGGGGAGAGGGTTGAGCTGCTCCCCAACACCCTGTGAGTCAGGATCACTCCCAAAGTATGGATGAAGTGATTTTCTTCCAGGTAGTGGCAGACCGGGGCTCTGTCTTGGGCCAGATGGAGCAGGTCACGCATGGCCAGAGGTAATGGCTGGCCCTGGGTAGGGCTGAGTGCATTAGTCCATGTGTGTTTTAGGACACAAGGACAGGGTCTTTATTATTATTTTTTAAATTTTTATTTCTAGAGAGAGAGAAAGAGAGCATGAGCAGGAGTTGGGGGAGGAAGGTGCAGAGGGAGAAGTAGACTCCCTGCTAAGCAGGGAGCCCAACACAGGATTCAATCCTAGGACCCTGGGATCATGACCCAAGCTGAAGGCAGACGCTTAACCCACTGAGCTACCCAGGCGCCCTGCCCCTGCCCACTCTCCAGACAGGGTGTATAGATGGGCTCAGTGGGCTGGGAGAAGGGTCTTACCAAGTGTGGCTGGCTGTTCCTCAGGACACTCCTTACATCCTCTCCAGACATCAACTGGAGCAGAATTAGGCGAGGGGCAGTCCAGAGGCGAAGCCGCAACAGCGCACAGTGTTCTGACAGCTGAACTTGCTGGGTGGGGGTGCACATACCCGAGCTGCCAGCAGGGAGGGAACCAGGCTGTAGGTTCCATAAAACTGGAGACAGGTTCTGTATCACTAGACCTGCTACCTCTCACCCCAGGGTGAAGAGCAGCTGTCCTGAAAGGGAGTTCTGCTCCCACTCTCCGCCCCGGCCGCTAGCCCCAGGCGCACCAATGGTGAGCCCTCCGTGAGGAAATCAGCTCATCCTGACCAGAACAGAGTTCTGGCAGGGTCTGGGGAGGAAGACCGTTCCTGGGCTCCCCCAGACACTTCAGGAGAGTGGGCTGACCCTAGCTCCAGCAACTGTTTCAGAAGTCCCACCCCTCTCACCTTGACAGCCACCTGCAGGGGGCTGGGGTCCCCAGGAAGGCCAATTACCAGTCCCTCATGGACTTTTCTAAAGGTACCATGGCCCAGGGCTCTGTAGGAAAACAGGTTGGAAGGGCGTGGGTGGCTGGGCCTGGGGAATGGTCCTAGAGGGGCTAGTGCCTACTTTCCCTTCTTGCCATCCCCTACATGCCCAGGTGGCCCTATCTGAAGACTCAAGTCTTTCAGCATCTCCCTAAGTACAAGCCCTACTGAGGCGATGTTGGCTGGCACAGAACCAGGGCAGAAGAGAGAGAAGGTTTGGGCTCAGAGTGGAGGTGGGGGTCTGTGATGGGGTTTTCCTTATGTCCTTGCAGACACCCTGGGTAGAGACAACCCTTGCTCCAAAGGAATCATAGGGTCCCCGCCATCCCAGAATTGGGGATGACAGCTGACTTTGGACAGGTTACTTTTTGGAATTTCTCTGACCTCTGTCTCCTCCCAAACACAGAGGTTTGGGGCCTGATGCTCTCTATGAACCATAATTTAGCACAGCAGGGCACGGGATGGGAGTGGGAAGGATTCAGAGGGCATAGGTTCTCAGAGGAGGGAAAGAACTTAACCAAGCAGGCTGACATTGGCTGGGGAAACTTCTGTAGGCCCTGGGGGCAGGCCAGGGCTGGGTCTAGCCACACCCCGCCTAGCAGTGGTAGGGGTTGAGGACTGTCCTGATGATGGAGGTTCAAGGATTGCTCAGCTCAAGCTCAGGGCCTGGCAGCCTCGTCCCCCACAGGCCCTGACACTTCTTATGGTTCACTGAAGAAGAAGGGCAAACTCTCTACCTACTCATCTGGCCCACCTGCTTTGCCACCCCTCCACCCAGGACATCTCTCCAGACACCCGTTAAGGCAAATGTCTTCCCTGGGCCTGCACAGCTGCTTCTACACTTAGAATCCCAGAGGAACCCATGCTGGAAGCAGGGATCTTGAAATCAGCCATGTCTGTCCCTGGGACCCCACACACAGCTCAGTGAAGATGTTCCTTACTCCTGGATGTTCTTTACCTGGAATCAGGACCCCACACACCATAAGGAGGCTTAGTGTAGAGGTCACAATGACAGTCACCAACAGAACCAGAGGGCCTGGTAGAGTGGGCAGGTCTAGGGAGAAAGACACCTCCAGTGGGAAGCTCCTCTCTGTCCTCTTCCCCAAATTTTACCCATACCACAAGATTCAGCCCAAGTGTTAGCTTTTTCATGATGTTTTTTTCCCCACTGATCCTAGATAAAAGCAACCTTTCCCTCCTGAGAAACCCTAAAACATTTTAAGTCTCCCATGACAATTGTCACGTTAATAGATATCTATATCTAAATCTAGATACATATCTGAGTGCCTGGGTGGCTGCATGGGTTAAGTGTCTGCCTTCAGCTCAGGTCACGATCCCAGGGTCCTGGGACAGAGCCCTGCATTGGGCTCCCTGCTCAGTGGGGAGTCTTCTCCCTCTCCCTCTGCCTCTCCCCCCTGCTCTTTTTTTTTTTCTTTAAGATTTTATTTATTTATTTGACAAACAGAGATCACAAGTAGGCAGAGAGGCAGGCAGAGAGAAAGAAAGGGGGAAGCAGGTTCCCCGCTGAGCAGAGAGCCTGAGTCGGGGCTTAATCCCAGGACCCTGAGATCATGACCGGAGCTGAAGGCAGAGGCTTAACCCACTGAGCCACCCAGGCATCCCTCTCCCCCCTTCTCTTGCTCTCTCTCATGTGTGTTCTCTACCCCCTCTAATAAATAAACAGAATCTTAAAAAAAATAAATCTAGATTCATATCTAGATAGAAAAATAGGTAGGTATATAGATAGGTATCAGCCCTCCATACTAGACCACTAGTCTACATGCTCCTTGAAGGAAAAGCATATGCTGATGAAGCTCTAATCTCCTGCCCAGCCCTGGGAATGGTGCCTGGCACACACCAGTCATCTCTCCCAGTTCCCTTCTGCTCCTCCCAGCCCGAGGCCCCAGGAGTCTAGACAGTGGACAAAGGCGGGACTTACCCACGCAAGTGACAGGTATCTGCAGCTAGCTCCGTGCCCCCTGGGCACATGCATTTGGCTAACCAGAGCCCTGCCTGCCATTGGCAGTCTTTCAAAAGGCAATGACCAGACCTGAGGTGCGATCAGATCTCCACTTCTCCATGGCTCTCCATGACTGAGTAAAAGAATGGCTATTGCAGGGTGAGGGTGGCAGACACACTTTTCCAGCCACGTGGTGAATTCTAGTCCTGGACTTTATTTTATTTTAAGAGTTTATTTATTTGACAGAGACACAGCTAGAGAGGGAACACAAGCAGGGGGAGTGGGAGAGGGAGAAGCAGGCTTCCCGAGGAGCAGGGAGCCCGATGAGGGGCTCAACTCCAGGACCCTGGGATCATGACCTGAGCCGAAGGCAGACGCTTAACAACTGAGCCACCCAGGTGCCCCTGGTCCTGGACTTTAGAACAATGAGCAGTACCTGGCATTTAAGAGGTGGGGGGAGGGTCTGGAGGACTTCTGTCAAGCCTGCATACTTCCTCTTCTGGGATCCTTGAGCTCACAGGTTGAGCCTGAGTAGGAGAGTACCCCAGAATGCCCCATACTGGCATCACAACTGACAGCCTAGTTCTCCAGTACTCCTGTGTGTGCAAGAAACAGATAATTCACAGCATAGAGTTGGTGGCTCAAATGGGAGTGGGTTCAGGGATTGAGGAATAAGGCTAGGCCAGGCTGAGAGGTGGGGGACGGGAGGGTTAGAGGCCAATACCTGCCAGAGGCTATAGGTAGGGTTCACTGCAGGGGTGTATGAGGGATACCCCATCTTCTCCATCAACCCAAAGGATATCACTCTCTGAGGCATCACTCCCTGGAAATTGAAAAGTGATAGAGGGTTTGGCTACAAAATGGGGGGAGGAAGTGGCACACAAATGGGAAGTGAGCTTATGAATGGGGGTAAGCTGTTGTCTCCAGGTGCAACTAGTGTGGCCCTTTCTACACTAGCATTACAACACAGGTGCTCCCCACTCCGAGTGGGAGCCAGGAGCCAGACAGGTGCGTGGGAGTCATCAGCAGGAGCCTGAAGGCCTGGCTCAGGCTGGCTGGGACAACCTCCTTGTCTGCCTGAAATCCTCTGACTTCATGTCCTCAGCTACAGAATGGGACAGGCCCAATCCACATGTTCCATTTTTGTGAGAATGGAGAAGATGTGTATAAAGTACTTCTGAACAGGATGGCTTAGACAGAACCAAAGGCTTTGGCTCTTTACACCAGTGATTTCCAAACTCTGGAGTGTATTAAAATCACCCAGAAGATTGATTAAAACACAGAAGGATAGGAGTCTTCCTTAGAGTTTCTGATTCAGTAGGTTGGAGAGGGGCTGAGAACGTGGATGTCTAACCAATTTTTAGGTGGTACTAATGTTACTGGTTCAGAAACCACACTTTGAGAACTACTAACTTAAATTACCCCGGCCTGGGGCACCTGTGTGGCTCAGTCAGTTGGGTATTGAACCTCAGGTATAGAGGGTACTAGGTATAGAACATCAGGCACCGGAATCACCACCCACCTCCCCCTGCTTCACACTTGGTCTCTTGATTTTGGCTCAAGTCATGATCTCAGGGTGCTGAAATGGAGACCCAGGTGGAGCCCCCAGGCAAGACCCACCACTCGCTCTGTGCTGGGAGTGGAGCCTGCATAAGGTTCCCTATCTGCCCTCAGCAGCCCCTCCTCTCTCTCTAAAAAAAAAAAAAAAAAAAAAAAAAAAAATTATCCAGGCCTTTCTGCCTCTCTGCTCAGTTTGCTAACTCAACCAGCTCTAAGTTCCTGGGACTGCTGTAGAGCAAGGAGACCTGTTGTGATTTAAAAAAATAAAAAATAAAAATAAAAATAATAACATAAAAATAAAAAGGCCCAGATTTAAATGAAAATCTAGGGAGTCCTGTCTGCTTGTGTGATTTGCAGCTCTTTTCTTTTTTAAAATATTTTTTTAATTTAATTTTCTCAGTGTTCCAAGATTCGTTGTTGCTGCCCACACCCAGTGCGCCATGCAATAAGTGCCCTCCTTAATATCCACCACCAGGCTCATCCATCCCTCCACCCCTCTCTTTTTTAAGATTTATGAGAGAGGGGCGCCTGGGTGGCTCAGTGGGTTAAGCCGCTGCCTTCGGCGCAGGTCATGATCTCAGGGTCCTGGGATCGAGTCCCGCATCGGGCTCTCTGCTCAGCAGGGAGCCTGCTTCCCTCTCTCTCTCTCTCTGCCTGCCTCTCCGTCTACTTGTGATCTCTCTCTGTCAAATAAATAAATAAAAATCTTAAAAAAAAAAAAAAAAAAGATTTATGAGAGAGAAAGAGAGCGCGCGTGCACGCGCTCACCAGTGGGGGAGGGGCAGAATCTTAAGCAGACTCCACACTGAGCGTGGAGCCCAATGTGGGGCTCAGTCTCATGATCCTTAAGATCAGGACCTGAGCTGAAACGAAGAGTCAGACACTTAACCCACAGAGCCACCCAGGATCATCTACTTAATCTCTTTTCCAAGAGCTCTTAACTCTACTTGTCCTGGGGCCCTGAGCGGGGCTCAACCCCTTCCCCAGCTGTCCTTCAGAGGGCATGTTCTAAGGTTCCAATGACACTTCACCCTGGGAGCCCCCGAGCTCCCCTCCTTGAGAGCGCACCTACCCGGGTAGCCGCCAACTACTGCACCCGCAGTACAGGCCCCGCCACCGCCCCCGGAGCCCCGGAGTGCGGCCCCGCGCAGCGTACCCCAGGCCTCCGCGCAGCCCCGGCCGCATTCCACCCCCTCCTGCAAGGAGCCGCCTGTCTGCGGAAAAGGGGCCCCCGCAACGTCCAGCCACCCCCTCCGTCTGCGGGGCGACAGCGTGATGGCCCGCACCGGGGTCGGGGAGCACGCCCACCTCCCCCTACCCCGCCCCCCGCGCCCTCACCTGCGGCGCCGCCTTTCTCCCTGCTCCCGGGCGCCACCGAGCGGTTCTCCAGTGTCTCAGGTGAGGCCTGAAGTCGGCCTCGGTCCCGGCGCCGCAGGTGGGCCCGCCCGCCTCCTCCGGCCGCCTCCAGCCGGGGGCTGTAGCTAGCCGGCGTGCGGCTACGGAGTATGCGGCGCGCCAGCCGTAGAGTGAGGACCGTCGAGTACGGGAACGGACTCCAGGGAGCCCAAGGCCGGGACGAAGAGCTTGTGTGGACGCGCCGGCAGCAAAAAGCTTGGGACCCCAACGCGGATTGCTGGGGGCGGGAGCTGACCACGCCGAGGCCAGCACGTACCCCGCCACCCCCGCCATCCCCGCCTCCCGTCCAGCGCCGTGACCCCGAGACCCCTGCGGCCCCCTCCGTCGCCGCGTGCTCCTCAGCGACCCGAGACTCTCCGAGGCTGACGAGCTGGCTCTCCGGGCTCCCCTGCGGGCAGCGGGCGCCAAATTCGGCGGGGCCCGGGACGCTCCCCTCACAGCGCGGCGGTCTGGACCTCGAGGAGCGACCTCGGTCTGCCCGGCCCTAGCCCCGGTGAGCTTGAGCCGCCTCATTCCACCGGCTCCGCTCGCTCCGGGACAGGCGTCTTCTCCCTGCTGCCCAGCTAGGATGTAAAGCGGCTCCCCGCGACCAAGGGAGAAGAAGGCAGAGACGAAGACGCCGTGCGCCCGCGACAGGTGGTTCGCCGCGCCTTCGGCCCCCGCAGCTCCGTAAGCTGAGATCCTACAGAAGCAGGCGCGGAGTCCGTGGCCCTCGCCCTTCGATCCTAGCGCTGCTCGCTTGGGACACAGGTTGGTGACAAAAGCGGCTCCAGAATTTATCTGAGGGGCTTAAGAGGCTGTGGTTGATTTTGAAAAGATGGGGAGACTAGGTCCGCACGCCAGATTAGATTTTACACTTATTTTAGGAGGCTTAATGGAGATTGGGGAGGGGGGGTTGCTCAAGCCACCGCTGGGCGCCGCCGCTGGTTAGGGGCTCTCCAGTGGCAAGCAACAGGCTCTTAGGTACCGGGCTAATTCAGTGGCGACCATTACCACCGACCCTGGTTCCACTGGAAGAAGGGACAAAGTCGCTAGGGCCACACAGGGTTGTGGAATATACCCTACAACAATGTGGTCACCTGAGGCCTTCTGTCCCCTGACTTTAGAACTTCAGACACCAGGGTCACCACCCACCTCCCCCTGTTTCACACTTAGAGGTACTCGCTGGTGGCTGGTGCCCACCACACCTGCATGCCTTTCTGAGGCTCGGTGGTACCCACTGTCACCATCACTCTGCTGCTGGTGTATGCCTTGTTGCACTCTTTTTTTTGTTTGTTTGTTTTTGTTTTTTAAAGATTTTTATTTGTTTATTTGACAGAGATCACAAGCAGGCAGAGAGGCAGGCAGAGAGAGGAGGAGGGGAAGCAGGCTCCCCGCTGAGCAGAGAGCCCGATGCGGGGCTGGATTCCAGGACCCTGAGACCATGACCTGAGCTGAAGACAGAGGCTTTAACCCACTGAGCCACCCAGGCACCCATTGTTGCACTGTTTGTGTGGGTCCTTGCCCGCCACAGGCCCACGGAATGAAAACAGCCAAGTCCTGTCAGTGTCTTGGAGCGGGGAGGGAGGAAAGAGTCATAGAACATCTGACCTGGCCTGGTAAGGTGAGCAGAGAAGGGAGGGAGAGCCTGGAGCTCACCTGGGGGAACTAGGGGAGAAACTGGCTCTAAGCAACTAGGTGGGGCAGTGATGTTCGCATCTTGAAGCTGGCAGTGACAGGGGCGAGGATGGCAGAAAAGCTGCCTGGGACCCTGAGTTGGAGCAGAGAATGGTTCCTGAAATGTGACAGCGAGACAGCGGGGTTGGGAGAGGGGGCCTGTGGTTAAATGGGGACAAGAGATAAAGATCGATAAAGAGATAACCTCTCAACATCTAGCCCTTGTCTCTTGTGGTCAGTCATGTTCCTAAACTCACCCAGCCAGGGCACACCAGCACCTGGAAGCCAGCCCTGACAAAATCCAGTCGCTGAGGCGCCTCTGGGTACCGACTGATACCTCTTTAAGTTTCTCCCCTGGGGAGTCCTTCCCAGTGAATGACCTGGGGGGCTGCACTGAGTTTGGTCTTGCAGGCTCCCCAACCTTTCCTCGACCTAGCTAGGTGGTCTCACCCCCAGGTGCTCCTGAGACCCTAGGGCCTGTCCCTCCTTCCCACACTGCGTGATGGGGAACCTTGAATTCAGGCCCGCACCGTGCTTCTGGGCCCACTCACCAGCAGCACTGACCCAGAAAGAAGCACTGGCCTTGAGGGCTCCAGGCCTCTGGTGGAGCCACTAGGACCCAGTGGTCTCAACTGCTGTTGCCAAGCCTCCAAAGATGCCTCTAGCCAGATGTTTCCTTGACTGACAGGAGGTACTTAGCTGCTGCTTCAAGCCACAGCAGCCGTGACCCGGAGCAGTCCATGGCTTGTTCAGCCTGCCACAACTAGGGCTGTGGACTAAGACCGTGTCACTTCCGCCTGACCGCCCCTTATAGCGGAGTCCAGCAGCTTGCTAGACACTGTCATCCTAAAGCCCGCCTGGCCACTCCCACCTCAGACCCCAGGATGCTGAAGGAGGGAAGGGCGGGGCATGTGGGCAGCGAGGTCCCTAAGCTTCCTGGAAGAGCCTTGTGAGCACCCCTCCCAGGGTTGTCTGGATCCCAAGGTAGGGGAGAAAGTGCCCCCTACCCTTTTGAGGCAGGAGGTGAAAAAAGGGGCAACCACACCCCAGACATCCTGCTCAGGCTTCTAGGTCTTTCTGGTTCTCACATCAGGAGCAATGGAGTGAGTGGTTCATTGGTGGTGGGGTGTAGGCATGTGTAATAACACATAGGAAGTGCTCTCTCTCTCTCTTTTTTTTAAAAGATTTTATTTTTTTGAGAGGAGAGAGAACACAAGCAGGGAGGAGGGGCAGAGGGAGAGGGGGGAGCAGACTCCCTGATGAGCAAGGAGCCAGATGCTGCGGTGCTGGGGTCGATCCCAGGGCTCTGGGATCATGACCTGAGCCAAAGGCAGACACTTCAGCTTAACTGACTGAGCCACCCAGGCGCCCCAGCAAGTGCTTTTAAACTGCCCCAAGTAAGGCATCATTACTCGCCATTGTTTGTGTCTTTTTGGTACCTTTGTGACTGAAAGGCTGAACCTCCAGAAACCCTCAAACCCTCAGAAACATGAGTCTTTAGGTTCACCTCATACAACTCCACTGTCTGTTTTAACCCTTTGCACAATTTTTAAAAAAATATTTTATTTATTTATTTGACAGAGAGCGCGAGAGAGCGTGAGCAGCGGGGAGCAGCAGAGGGAGAGGGCAAAGCAGGCTCTCCGCCGAGCAGGGAGCCCGATGTGGGGCTCGCTCAATCCTAGGACCCTGGGATCATGACCTGAGCCAAAGGCATGCTTAACCATCTGAGCCACCCAGGAGCTCCCTTTGCACAATTTCTTACAAGAATGGGGTAAAAGCCTGGATCCTGATCTCAAAGATCTAAGCACTAGTACTAGTATTTCTAGTCAACAATGATGGTGCACAGGTTGCACTGTTCTGAGACCGTTTCCCCACCTATAAAATCCTATGAAGGGGAATTGCTCTGTAAACCACAAGGGACCCTATAACTGTGAAGGTCCTCAGCCTGCAGGTGGTTTTGTGTCTTCCTTAATTTTTTTGTCCGAAATACTAATTTTAAAGGCTGAGGCCTATATACAAAGCACTGGGAAAAAAAGAAGTGATAGTGGTTAGCTATTTGGTTGTCTAAGACTATAGTGCTAAGTAAAGATACTACAGTGATTCTGAAGCACTGTAAGACCCATGCTCTATTGAACTCCATGGGTATCCCACTGTGAGATCCCAGAATTTACTTGGTAACGAATGTTCCACTAAGCCAGTGGTTCTCCAAGTGTGTTTGGGCTTAGATAGCCCCAACAGCACCACCTGGAAATCTGTTAGAGATACAAATTCTTGGGTTTCATCCTAGATCCACTGAATCAGAAACACCGGTGAAGGGCTGGGCAGTGTGTTTTAACACATTCTTCCCGCAATTTTTGTCACATGGGTTTGGGGACCAATCTGTTTGCAGATGCAGTAGTTGCTTATAAAACCTACTGTATTATTCTGTGTCCAGCAGCTCTGTTCATGGGAAGTGGTTCTCTCTACCTACGGACAGGGCACACTGCACTCACTCCGATGACCTGTAAACACGAGGATCCCACACAGAAAATGACACTGTAAGAAAGCTTAAGTGTTAGAATTTAGACAAAGAACCGAAAAACCGTACCAAAAGTGATGAACCAATGAACCAGAGTTCATGGTGATCCACTCCTTCCCAGCTCTTCCTTCCCTGGCACCACTGAAGTCCATAATGGAGGGGGAGTTGTAGGACAGCGCTACAGACTGTGTCCACTCCCCCTTCCCCCAACCAAGTTCATATGTTGAACTCTAATACCCAGTGTGAGGGTATCTGGAGGCAAGGCCTCTAGAAAGTGATTGGGTCATAAGGGTGCCACCCTCATGGGTGGAACAGGGTTAGTGTCTTTATTAAAGCCGCAGAGGATTCCCATGTCCCTTCAACCATGTGAGCGCTGTCCACGAACCAGGAAGTGGGCCCTCACTGGAGACCAACTGTGCCGGGGCCTTGATTTTGGACTTCCCAGCTTCCAGAAATTTTAGAAATGAACTTCTGTTGTTTATAAGGCATCCAGTCTATGGTATTCTGTTACAGCAGCCCCAACGGATTAAGACAGACAACTATTGCACAGTCTGGTTTTTGCTTTCTTCATATCTCAGGATAGCAGTTAATGGACCATATGGAGATAAGATGCTGACCTCACTAAGGATACTTATACTCCAAATGGACTGCCGAAAGTCCTTTAAGAAGTACCCCTTCCTGGGGCACCTGGATAGCTTAGTCATTGGGCATCTGCTTTTGGCTCGGGTCATGATCCCAGGGTCCTGGGATCAAGCCCCACATCAGGCTCCCTGCTCAGCAGGGTGCTTGCTTCTCCCTCCCACTCTCCACTGCTTGTGTCCCCTCTTGCTGTGTCTCTCTGTCAAATTTGAAAAAAAAAAAAAAAAAAAAAAAAAAAAAGGTAGTACCCCTTCCTAAGAGAATTGCTCTGGCCTGGCTTGCCTCCAGAACTGGGACCCACATTTTAGTTGTCCCAGATGTGGACTTAGTTTTTACTTCCCCATCTCTCACAGAAGTCCTGCTTCTCCCCTGGGACAGTCCATCCCTCCATACCAATCCTGAACTACCATGTCTGAAATTAGTCCAAATCAGATTCCTAGGAGATACAAAAATTTTTTATTTCAGTACACATCTATAGCATTCATATATCCTGGTCTGGGGCAGGGGAAGGAGAGATGTCCATAGTTTTCCTTGTCCCCAAAAGAGGGTTAAATAGTTAAGTCACCCTTCACTCCCAGTACAGACCCTCAGAAGCCCCAGATCCTGAGCTTCACACATCAGTATATAATGGTAGGGCTCACCCTGCTCCAAAAAAGCTCCAATGGCCTGCTTCCAGGAAGGCAAGCCTTCTGTTCCTTTG